AAAAAAAAAAAAAAAATTAACCTGTTGCTGTCAAGTTGCTTCTGATTCACAGCAACCCTATAGGACAAAGTAGAATTGCCCCCATCAGAGTTCAAGGCTGTGATCTTTATGGAAGGAGCTCTGGTGGCACAGTATATAAGGCATTTGGCTGCTAACCAGAAGGTCAGTGGTCCAGACCCACCAGCTGCTCTGCAGGAGGAAGATGACGCAATTGAAGTAATAAATCATAGAGATTTACAGCCTTGGCAACCCTATGGGGGTCACGATGAGTCAGAATTTGACTCAATGGCAGTGGGTTTGGCTTTGGTTTTAACCTTTATGGAAGCAGACTGCAACATCTTTCTCCCATGGAACAGCTGATAAGTTTAGCTTCTATTTTTTTCTTATTTTCATCAACACATGAAAGGAAACTAGATTTTTCTGCAATGAAAAGTTTGCAATTAGGCTTGGGATTTAGAAAGACAAACACAGTATTTTTAAGTTGAGTTTTTCAGGTTACCAAAGATCAACAAGAATCAATGACTTGAAGATTTAAAGGTATTATTTTGATTACTAAACATTTTCTCAGGATTAGTACTATAGGATAATTAAACTTGACCCAGGAGACTTTCCAGAGTATACATTTCATGGAAAGGGGAATTAATAAATTCCATTTATAATATATATGAAAGAAGAAAAGAAGAAACTTGTATTTTAAAATACTACCTAAAATATTAGTAATCAAAATAGTTGCCAAAATGAATGTTCAATCCATTTCTTTTTATTTCTTTTCCTTTAGATCTTGTAATAGCAGTTCAGTGGATACAACTATTTCAGCTTCAAATGAAACAAATTTGGGTGACCAAAGCCCAGTCAAATGCCTTTCCCACTACTACAAATGGAGAAAAAATATATTTAATTAACCAGGACACGAAAAAGCATCATGTCAGTCATATTCACATCAGAGCATTTCAGGTCCACTGATATGAATAATATTTGTATTCATATCATAAGCAATACATTTGCATAACTTATGTTGAGATTTTAAAATGTGAAATGAAAAAGCAGATGAATGATTTTTTTAAACCAAAAAGTTGGAGGAAATAATGAAAACAACATCAACCAGGGTTGGTCATAGTGCTCTAAGTATACTTTTCAATATTAATGGAAACCACCAACAGTTTCTCTAATGCATTTTTTCAAAAGGCTTTATCCAAGCTGGCTATATATAATATTCTCATTGCCTCTTGATAATATTGCTAAAAAAATTCTAAAATAATTATTAAGAGTATTATTATATTAATGAATCAGTGTGCACATTAAACCACTTACAGAGGCAAGGCTAGGCATCAGATAACTTTAGATTTGTCCTAACTTTCTTGGCTTCATTAAAGGACTACCACAGAACCCCTACTTTAAGAACCTCCAAGTAGATAAGACACTGACCTCCAAACGACCTATGCTTTTCCATACATCTGCAGATACCTTTCTCTCCCTGGAATGCCTTCAACATAATAATCCCCTACTCTTCCCTAAAATCCTTTAGAAGTAAAATCTCTGATGGTGCCTCATTCCTTTGGGATCCAGCAGCACTTAAAACACACTTCTGTAAGCACATCAAGCACTTTATTATATATTCTCTACACATTTGTCTCTCCCATTACTCCAGGAACCCCACAAGAGCCACAACAGCCTTTATACCTAATGTATGAGCTAACTGACTTAATGAACAAAAGCATGGTCTCCCCAGAAGGGAGTAGAGCAAGACTCTCACTTCCCTTGTACTGAAGATACTTTCATTAACACAGCTTAGGATCACAAAGGCTTTCTTTTGGCAGTTAAAAAAATAGGAGTTTGTTCAAGGCCCAAGCCTTTTTCAATACATGACTAAAATTCTTTCATTATGCCTGAAACCAAAAAGAATTAAAATGGACAAGCAAACTTGACCTTATTCTGTTCAGTAAATATTTCCAGCATGTTAAATATTTCAAAATATTGAAACAATATTAATTTAATTTTAATTAATAAAAATTTAAAATATTTAATTTCAAAATATTAAAATGCATGCAATATATTAATGATCTTTTCCACCTTTCCAAGGCCTAACTAAGGCTATACAAATTTGCTATTTGCAAATGCTGAGAGTTATGTGTTTATTCAACACTCATTGCTGATTACCAATTTGCCAGAGTAAAGAAACATAAGTTGAAAATCATTTTCTCTCAGATCTCAGAGAAAATTTCTCCAATGTCTTCTAAAATCCAAGGATATTGATCAAAAAACTATATGCCATCTTTTTTTTAATGACATCTTAATTCCTGTTCCTTCAGTAACTTATTTTTTCCTTTCTAATCATTGAGGATATGTTTCTGATCCTTAGTGTTTTGAAATTTCACAGTGATGTGTTTGGGTGTGTTTCTTTTTCTCATTCATTGTGCTAAGCATCAAACAAAACCAAAAACCAAATTCATTGGATCGAATTGATTCTGACTCATAACAAACACCATAGGGTCTCCAGAGCTTTAAATCTTTACAGAAGCAGACCCCCTTATCTTTCTTTCATGAAGCGGCTGATGGGTTTGAACCACTGACCTTCTGGTGAGCAGCCAAATGCCTTAACCACTATGCCACCAGAGCTCCTTAAGCATCAAACAGACTTTTCAATACCCAGAAATGTGACATCTCATTTTCTTGAAATCCTTGTCCCCATTGGTCTTTTCTCCCTCTTAGGAACTCATTCCTCCAAAGTCACACTTTGTCTGATGACCCTGTCATTTTCAGAATCTGCAGCCCCTCTGAACTCATGAAACAAACATCCCATCCATTTCTGACCACTTCCTGTTGTCTCTCAAGTTCACTTGTTCTAGAAATCCTATGGAGACTTCTGGTCCATTGATTCTACTCATTTTTCACAATGCATCAGTTCTCTTTAATTTTCACTTCTCCCCTTATCCAGCTTATGTTTTGTGGTCCATAATCACAATCATTCTCATTAAAACACTATATATGCAATTCCCTGCATCAAAGTCCCACACTGACTTTAGTTGTTTGAGTGCTGAAAATATTTTTAGGAAAAATCACCTAATATGAAGACTGGTTTCACTTCAAAATTCACAAACCTCAACACTTTGTCATTATTATCTCATGAGTTTTCTTCATTCTTCAACAAAACACCATAGTCATCATTTTTTTTTGTTCAAACTCAGACATAATTAAAGAGTTTCCTCATCTTTTAACCAACAGATCTACCAAATCTCTCTTGACCTGCATTCAGTTTGACAAAGCAGAAGTGTCTCTCTTCCTACAAAGGCCTATCCCCTGATCTCTCCCTGCAGGCTCTGCATCCATCCTCTCTTTCTTCAAGGACTTAATTGTTTGTGATTCCTTCTTTTTCCTGATCATCAGTCTTTCTGGTGAACTCAGTCATCTCAATTAGTATTAAACATGTTCTAATATTGATCATTTAAAAGCAAAACCCACTTGTTGTTGTTGTTGTTAGGTGTCGTCAAGTTGTTTCCAACTCATAGCGACCCCATGCACAGCAGAACGAAACACTGCCCAATCCTGTGCCAGCTTCATGATCCCTGCTATACTTGAGTCCATCATCGCAGCCACCATGTCAATCCATCTCGTTGAAGGCCTTCCCCTCTTCCATTGACCCTCCACCCTACCAAGCATGACATCCTTCTCCAGGGAATGGTCCCTCTGACAACATGACCAAAGTAGGTGAGACAAAGTCTGGCCA